AACCTATTTTGAAAAATTGGAAATTGTCCTAAGAATAAAACAGATATTAGAACTCTCAAATAAACTTCGACGTCTACGTTAAACAAGGAACTCCGAATATGAGAATTGACAATGGTATTCACTTTCCGGGCTAGAAAGTTGAAAAGTTTTGTGAATAAAACAAACAATGTTTGATCTGAAACTGGAATTATGAAAAATGAAACTAAAAACGTAACACTCTCTCAATCGCAAAACGTAATTGTAAACGATCAATTTTTAACTACTGTGTTAATGTATTTTAGGCTTATGATTCGTTTTTGTACTAAAAAGTGGTAAATTAAAAGAAAAAAATTTGTGATACATTCAAATAATGGTTTTACAGACCTGAAATTTATTATTTAACGCTAGAGTGTTTGTGCTATGAATGCTTTAGAAAATTGAAACAGTCTCTAAACAATTGAAACTTTTGGGCTAAAGCTACTAAATGAAACGCTCAAATTATGTAAAAGAAGCTTGGTTTTAGGTTTTTGGGAGTGACGCTTGGGTCTAGATTTTTTTGTTACCTCTATTTACCAAAACTCTGGCTAGAACAAAAAACTTTTTACCCAAAAACCTATTAGTCAAATCCTGAAACGTAGATTTCAGACTTAAAAGCTAAGTTTCAAAGCTAGTATTGTGGTTTTAAATAAGGTTAGTTCTCCCTAAAAAGTCTAAACCCGACATTCATACTTCAACTCTGGCTGAAAAAATGTAAATTGTGTTCTAAAACCTGAAACTTTCTTAAAATTACCAGTTAAAGCCGTGTTTTAGATTTTTTGAGATGAGTTTTTTCCAGTTACTTAATTTTAGTTGCTTTTTGTAAAACCGCAACAGATTATCAAATGTTTTACGGAAACTTATTTTTGTTTTACGGAAACCGAAATTTTTGACCCTTGAAGTCAAAATTAGTCACAGACCGATTGTTTTTGTGCTTAAAAACTGTTTTTGTACCAGCTGAACTATCATGTTCCTCCAAAAAAGTTGTTTACATTTCATAATTTAATTTTGCTGTGTAAAATCTCACTCGTAACTTGTGTTTCTGAAACTAAATGTATTTCAATGTAAAAGTTACTATGAAATAT